TCTGGATGAAGTTGCCCCTAGAATGAAGGTGACACTACTGGAAGCAGCTGTTTCTGATGTAGCTGATCTTTCTGTTAGTTGGCTTCTGCAGAAAATGTTAATGTCTATCTAGGATGATTACAAAAAACAGAAAGAGCAGAGGAGAGGTTGGGGTACCAATCACTTTACTGTGGAATTCGGTCATAGGCCATCACAATTGTTACCCACACCTGAGTCAACTGCCTCCCCACCTCTACCCCAAGCTGATGTGCCCTGAAGCAATGAAGTTCAGACATCTAGTAAGGCAAAAGACATGTGCATCTACTGTTTTATTTTTCCATGATGGTTTTTCTTGTCTAAGTGTCCTAAGTCACCCATCCTCTTAGCACGTATTTTTTTCGGGGATTACAGAACTAAAGCTGGCTTTATTTTGTTTCAGTTCCCTTGCATCCATTTCAATAGAATCACTAATACCACTCATTTTCAGATTTTGTGTGCTTAATAGATTCAGAATATGAGGTCATGTGTCCAAAAAGATAATTATCATTCTGGGCAATGATTGAATGGTTTCATTGTCCTGAAAATATACTGCAGGCAAAAAGGACTTTTGTTATGGCATTACCTGATGTGTGTGTGATTCCCGAAACTTCACTGACTCAATTTGCCATTCTAGAATAACAAAAAGTTAACTTTGCTACAAGGAAAGTGGAATTTTAATAGCAGATCCATCTGTATTATCAGGAAATGCAAGGTATGCAAAAATTGTATTAACTACTAGTCTATCAGATCCTGGTGAGAGAGAGTTTATCACATGTGCCTATAAGTTACCTAATTTATTTATTTCCTAAATTCTCATCACTTGGAGCTGGAAGGATGAACAGCACCTCTCCTGGCTTTCTGTAGTAAGAACATTGGTTGACAACATTTCTTTCACAGCCTCTTTTACTTCCTGGAAGCAGAGAGGGCCCCAGCTTTGTGCTCTCCCAGTGGAATGTGGATGTGAACTAAGGTCACCATTCCCACAACTCTTTGAATCCCAAAAGGATTGACTGACACAAAGGATTCTGGGAAAGAATGTCCAGCTTCAGCCCAAAGCAGGAAATAGGAAATGCCAAGGACTAGGTGCATAGATTAAATGATGACGAGCAACCTAGAACTTTCCTTTTCAGTATTTCAACTCATCAAGGTCTGATTGCTGCTGAGCTCAACATGGACATGCCAAGAGTGGCCCCACTTAGAAGTCTGCCTCATCTGTGTGGCTGTGTGGCTCCCATATGGCTCCAGACTTCCCACTGCTCCTGACCTAAACACAGCAGCACCCAAGACAACAGGGCACCATGGACAGGGTTTATGTTACCATCTCTGGTCAAGCATGTTTCATTCTCTATTTGCTTTCTATCTCTTCAACATCCCCTTCATCTCTCATCATCAATCTGTGTCAATGTAGCATTAATCTTCAATAATAATCAAAGATGAGACCAATCAGTCAAAAGACTGGATGTAGAAACTCAAACTTTTGGGTGAGTGAACCTGGGTAAGTGACTGAACACCCCGCCGCACCCCCAAGCCTAAATGTCCTCCAATAGAAAACAGATAACAATACCCACCTGAAACAAGCTGTGATTCAAAATGCCTGTACCACATGCCGTATTCCAGGGGCAGGGTGGGAAAACCGCCTCTGCTGCTGGAACTTTTGAACCATGTGCTCTCATTGCAATGATAATCCAAAGTAAAATTGACGAAGCATTTTCTGCAATATCCGGAAGACCCGTTAAAGAACTGCCATTGTATTTTAATGCCGGTTGCAAACAAAGTTTGCAAGATCTAATACTAATTTGATTGGCTGTACTAGTGAAAAAAGAATAAAAGGGAAATAAAGTTAAAATGATGCACTTCTGTCAAATCAATGCCAGATAACATCATGGTGCCCAGTGTAAATGGGGAGCAATGACGGGACACGTGAGTCATCAAACCACGTGTAGGCATGGTGAATGGAAATGTACCTGTACAGCAGCGTTCAATACTGCTTTGGTGTAGTAAGTTTTGAATCAGTTTCATCAAAACTATATCATCTGTTGCATTTAAGTAAAATGTATATAGCTTTGTTTGCATTAAATGTATTAATTTATTTTGTTTTATAGTTTCTTAGCAGCAATAAGCATTGGGAGGTAAAACAGAATTTTACTTTCCAAATATTTTTTAGAAACATCATACTAAAAATATCAGATTTTTTTCTGTACTTTCAGTGGATTCTGTGCATAACTAAACTGGAGAAGCATTCTAATAACGTACTTGAACTCCTCCATAGTAAATGACCCATAGAAGATACATAAGAAATGATGAGTTTTCTTTTTGGAGGTGTGTGTAATAGTGGTGTATCTTCAGCATGGTGAAGGATAGGAAGAATAAAAAAATAATGAATAGTCATAAATCTGTCTATTCATCACTTTTTATGTGCACCTGGTAATATGCTAAGGATATTGCTTAGATTGCCTTTCTAATCTTCATAACTATTTGAAGACACAGGATATTCCCCACTGTATTACATTGCCTTCCTGCCTTCAAGGATCTGACAGTCTACTCAGGAAATGACTCACGTGTAGAAATCATTCATTTGAGGTTACGAATGTTAAATGCTAAAAGAAAGGTGTGTGAGAGCTTTAAGAAGAGAGGGATCTGTCAGGGGGGGGTTGTCTGGAAGGTTTCATGAATTGAGGGTCAGATATGGATTGACAGCATTGCAGGAATGTTCCGTCTGTCCCTCCAGACTCACTGTTCCCCTTCTGCACCCTCCTCTGGAACCCCGGGAAGCACCTTTCATAGATGATAGCAACAGTTTCTCTTGCCAACTACATGGCTTCCCTTTGGGCTCCACCAAAGGGACGGCATCTTCTTGTTCCATGGAAGCGTGGAAAAAAGTTTTCTCCTTCTAGAGGTCATCTTCTTCTGGAAGTTTCTTAGTGGGTTTTATAGTCAGATCACTAGTGGGACTGGATGTCTAGAACGGAGGGCCCCGTGAGGGTTCCAGAGCAGTTTCAAAATGACTTGCATGGTGTTGCTTTTCATACATTTAGCCTCTCAGCTGCATGGCAGGCAGAGGGGTATCCATTGGTGTCCCCTCAGGAAATGCAGCTTTATCATGAGAGTGTAACATGGGCACATAAGATAGCTGCCTGCCAATATCAGAAAGTTGGGTGAAATCAATCAGAGGAGAAGCCAAGCCAAGATCTTGGCAAAAGCATGAGGAGGACACAGGAGGGTGGGAAGACAGAGGTCGGGCTATTTATTCCTTGGTATCCCCCTTCTTGACAAGTTGGCTGTTCTCTCTACTGAAAGCCAGAAGCTGGGTGGGAATGTACCTCCTCAACCCCTATCCATGCTACTGTTTGTTATTTATTCCTCAAGTCCTGCCCTCACCTCAGTTACATACCCCTTTAGTAAACTCTCCTCCCACCACCCAGGTTTTGTAGGTATCTGTTTTCCTCTAGCCACTGCCTGATACACAGAGGGATGGATTCTGTGCATAACTAAATTGGAGAAGCATTCTAATAACGTACTTGAACTTATGTTCAAGTAAGTTGAACTTACTTACCTGGTATGGGACTCCATACCAGGGATCTCAGGTGGGCAGTGGGTGGGGGCTCATCTAGGCAGGTACAAGGTGTATGTTAAGGTGCAAAGGATGGTGAACACCGAATAAAAATAATAATTACTAGTATTGGCGTTTGCAAGCCCGCTTTTACCTAACTAGAAACTGGGATCTTTAACTCCATAATTTTGAATCCTGGAGAGACCAGAGCATTGCCACTTCCACTTTCCACAAGAGGAAACAGAGTCACTGTTTAGGCCTAAGGTAGTTTAGCTATTAAATGGCAAGGTCAAAATTCAACTGAGGTTCTATCTAATTCTGTCTCTGGATGCTCATTCAGACTTCTGTCAACCTCTCAGTGACAGAAATAGTCTGATGAGAATAAGATCAATACTGGGCTCAAGTACCCAAGTAAGTATCCCAGTCTCTGTTGAGGGGACTCAAATGGAAGAAAAGACCTTATGCCCGCCTACCCTTAGATCACAAGTGTCTGCTCTCAGGCCACCCCTTAGAGGAAGGGCTAGTGGAGCCATCTCTTTTGTACAAGGGACTTCCTTGAGCTCCTTTAAAGTGTAGAAAGCACCCCACCATGTTAACTGGAACGCCCTTTCCAAGTGCAGCCAGAATCAGACTTTAGAAATTCTCTGGGCTTCTCTGAGTTAATAACTGTCCATCTTGCACCTGGCTGGCCTGCACGGCTCTGGGCCCTGAACTCTGGCCAGCAGCTATATCTGAGCTGAGGCCCACCTGCTCCTTGGAGAGCTGAAGCCTCCAGAATGAGCACACATTAATGTGATTTCCTTGTGGTTAGGATGCTGAAAAGGCCTCGTGTGGCTCTAGGAGAAAATCATGGCATCAGGCATGCAGACCTGGCAAAGGATGTGCTGGAAAACCTGGCAGTGTGACAAACTTTAAGAGAAGGGAAGAACTTGCATCAATAAAGTTTATTGCATTTTTAAATGTTTTCTTTAGATGTTTGTTATTAAATTTCTGGGAAAGATAGTACAGTTTAGTGAAGGGGGTGAAAAACACAGTCCCCCATCTTGAGTATAGCCTAGGAATTTTTTTCTATATTTCTGTATAAATGTATATACACATTTTTTATTGTAAAAGTGTACATCCTGTTTATTTAAAGTGGGGTCCATGGACTGGTAGCCCTGGAATCACTTGAGAGTGCACTGGAAATGTGTAATCTTGTGCTGACCCCAGATTTGTCAAATGATAGTTTTAGCAAGATCTTTAGGTGGTGGAAGGGCACATAGACTATAAAGCTGAACAGTGTCCAATGGTGTGAATGTGCCATGAATAATTTCATTAATCTCCTTTTAGCTTAAAAAAAAATGCTTTGTCTAAATTTTCATGATCACATGCTACAATATAGTGAAAAATGCTACAAAATAGTTTTTTGCATTCAACTTAGTACAAACAATGATGACGGTGATCACCATTATTACTATGATTTATTGAGTGCTAATTACATGCTAGGTCCTGTGATGAAAGCTTTACAAGAATTATCTCATCTCCTCCTTATCAGGGCCTCCTACAAAGGGGCTATCTCTCATTTAGAAGTGATGTTACAGGGGCATATTTTAAATAAAGTATTTCAAATAATTATGATATTTTAAATATTGATATTACTATAACTGATGATAATGGTGATAGCCCATATTGGTCACACGCTACAGAGACTGTATTAACTGCTTTATGTTCATTTTCTAAATCTGAACTTCAAAGGCTGAAGAGGCGAGTGTTATTATTAACCCTCTTAAAATCGAGGTAAACAAGCTCAGAGGTTAAAAATCTTGTCTGAGGTCACATCTCAAGATCACAGTAGAATCTCAATCTGGACGTGGACTTGCTGGGCTCCTCCACTCTCAGTCATCATGGTTCAGGAAGAGGAATGTGCTAATTTGCTTTCAGTTCTTCAGTGCATTATTGGGACCTCACCTCTCTGTCACTGTTGAGCTCCTAAGCAGGCCATTCTTCTCCCAAATCCTTTGTGTGTGAATAGAGAAGGGGATTCACCCACCGCACTGCCTCCTTCGGGGGATGGGCTGAGAGAACAGAGGATTTGTTCCTAATCACAGATCTACACAGCAGAGCTGCAGGCATCGGAATCCTCAGACATTCAGACTGGCCAGCCCGTGTGGCAAATATCCCAGGACTTTGCAGGGAACAATGGGCAATGAACTGCAGGTGACCCGACCTGCTAATCGCTCCCTGATTACCAGCTAATCAGTGCCTTGTTTGGGACGCTGAATCCCAATTCCCTTTGGACTGGGCTGGGCCTTGGCAGACAGTCACCTGGTTAATGTGGCAGGGGCGAGGCAGAGGGTCATGTGCTCCAGTGCACGGAGTGGCCAAAGGCCGCCTTTGGGGAAGTGATCACAGGGTCTGTCTCTCCCTCTGATCCTGGGCAACTACAACATTTGTCAACAACATGGAAGTGAAGCGAGGTGGAGAAGTAAAGGCCAGTGCCTCTTTCCTGAAGCCTATGGAAAAAAACAAATGAATTGACTTTTAAAGGCACAGAGAAAACAGAAGTGTTCTTTTTTCAGAATTTCTCAAAAGAAGATATTATATGGAAGGTTGAATTCACCACCACCAAGACCCCCACAGCTACCACCTCCATAATCAATATCATCACCACCTCATCACTGTTATCACTTCTACTGTCATGGGAACCACCACCCCACCCCCACCCTCACCACCACCACCACCTCCACCACTACCACCACCACTACCATCATCATTACCATCACCACCACCAGCAACAACCCTGCTGTTTCCACCAGCACTCCACCACCACCACACCACTACCACCACAGTTGCCATCCCCTCCCTTACCATCGCCTCTACCACCACCACCACCATTACCACCACCACCATCACCATCATGATCATCATCCCTCTCCCACCACCACCACCATCACCATCACCATCACCACTGCTGCCACCATTACCACTCCTTCCCCACCATCACCACCTCCACCACCATCACCCCATCCCCACCTCCACCATCACCACCACCAACACCATCATCACCATGCCCTTCCCACACTTCCCACCAACACCATCTCCATCACCACCACTACCACCACCACCACCATCACTATCACCATCATCATCACCACTACTGTCACCATTACCCCACCCCCTCCCCACCATCACCACCTCCACCATCACCCCACCCCTACCTCCACCATCACCACCACCAACACCATCATCACCATGCCCTTCCCACACCTCCCATCAACACCATCTCCATCACCACCACTACCACCACCACCACCATCACTACTATCACCATCACCATCACCACTACTGTCACCATCACCCCACCCCCTCCTCCCACCACCACCTCCACCACCATCACCCCATCCCCACCTCCACCATCACCCCATCCCCACCTCCACCATCACCACCACCAACACCATCATCACCATGCCCTTCCCACACTTCCCACCAACACCATCTCCATCACCACCACTACCACCACCACCACCATCACTATCACCATCAACATCACCACTACTGTCACCATTACCCCGCCCCCTCCCCACCATCACCACCTCCACCATCACCCCACCCCCACCTCCACCATCACCACCACCAACACCATCATCACCATGCCCTTCCCACACCTCCCATCAACACCATCTCCATCACCACCACTACCACCACCACCACCATCACTACTACTATCACCATCATCATCACCACTACTGTCACCATTACCCCCCCCCACCATCACCACCTCCACCATCACCCCACCCCCACCTCCACCATCACCACCACCAACACCATCATCACCATGCCCTTCCCACACCTCCCATCAACATCATCTCCATCACCACCACTACCACCACCACCACCATCATTACTTCTGGCCCTGCTGCCACACCACCACCACCACCATAGCTGTCACTACCACTACCAACACTGCCATCACTGCTAAACCATTGCTACCACCATTATCACTATTATCACCACCCACACCACCACCACCAGCACCACTGCTACCACCACCAACACCATCACACCACTACGAGGACCACCACCTTCACCAATTACTTATCATCATTAGTATCACCACTGCCAAGAACAATGAAAACAACACCATCACTGCTGTTCCCACCACCATAACACCACCACAATAGCTGCCACGCCTAACTCACATGGCCATATTCCAAGAAAGCAGTTTACAGTAGTATTTTTAAAACACTGATTTGAGAGTCAGACTAATTTAGGATCTATTCCAAGAAGTACTAGTTGTTTGAGTTTAAATAATTAATTAACCTTTGAAACTTAATTCCCCCAAATAAAAAAATAGAAACAGTAATAGAGCCAGCTCATAGGAATGTGGTTCAGACCAAACAGTTATCACAATGTTTGACCGGTAACTCAACGAAAGTTCACTATCTTTATTATCAGTATTTCCGCCCCAACTCCTTTTTAATACACAGCTGCTCCCCTAGCATTTTTGCTTGAAAATGGGTGAGGAAAGGACAATTTATCCCTTTATTTCTAAATCTCATGGGACCCCCTAGGCTGCCTGACATCCCTCAGAAGGGGTCTGGTCATAGCAGTATGGGTTGAAGAAAGTTTCAGATTTGGAACTCAGCTGTCTGGATTTGAATCCAGATCTGCTTTTTAAAATCTATCGGGCCTTCAAAATGTGTCTGTCCTCTCGGAGACTTCCTCTTCTAAAAAATGGGGAGTCATATCTTTTCCTTGAAGCATCTGGGGAGGATTCCATGAGATAAGATAGAGAAAAGCCCCAGGAGATGATGGGCAGAGAGTAGGTACTCAATGCATGGAGTTGACTTTGATGTGCTGATATTTCAGTTTTGAATAAATAATTATAAGGAAGTGAAAAACGTACACACTGCTCTAGAGAACCTTCTACTGGGGAATAAAATCCAGTCTTTCTCTCTTCCAGATGGAGCTGAGCCTGGCTCTCTAACCGGTTCTCTGGGTGTACTGCAAAGGTCTAATAAAAGGCACCTTTGCCCAGTTGCTTCAATTCTAGGAAGCTGTTCAATGTTTGACTATATTTCTCCATACTCATTTGAAAATGGTTCATCAGGTTAGTTCAGTTGAATTATTGCTCCTTGGGAGTTTTCCAAACCCTGGATTTCCTTCGGAGAGAGCTAGATTCGATTCCATTCTGGGAATCCAGCTCCTTGCCCCTCTCTGTGACCCCTGGTCGCAAATGCAGTAAAAATATCCTGCCGCCTCCTGCACTGAGAGAGGAGTCCCTGGCCTCCTGCTTAGAGATGGAATCTCATCTCTTGGGAGTTTCAGAGCAAGAACGTTAGACAAGCTGTCTGTTTTCCTTCTTCATTTCTACAGTTTGGTCACCGACATTTTGGTAGCAGATAGTAGCAATAATGGGTACTCCTAAAAGTATATATATGGTAAGAAGAAGAAAGGGAAAAAATATCATTCTATCCAATCACATTTGTCTCCTCCATACCCCGTATGAAGTGTTACTCAGTAGATTTTGTTAAACAAACCACTGTGAAAGAACTTTCAGTACAATTCCATCCATGGTCACTTAGCACAGACTACATATCAGGGAGTCAAGGGAGACAGGGAAGAATTCTGAACCCACATAAACAAACTCCTTAGAATCAACTTTAGCAAATGCAGCACCTGGCTAGGGCAATTCTCGAATCTCCTAAGGAACACCAGGACAGGTAGACTGTTAGCCAGAATGTTAGACTGTTAGACTGTTAGCATGAAACACATGCAGTGTTTCACGTTCTGAGTTTTCTTTCTTGTGAAAGTCTAGATTCCACTACCCAGTGAGAAAGAAAGGATGCAGGAAAGAAAATTTATTAGCAGATTGTCCACAAAGTCTCTTTCAAATAGTTTCAAATTTCACTCCCATCTCTACGGTCTTGAGTCTTTTGTCAGGGTGGACTGACCCTTTTAATTCTCCACCTACCTGTGGATAGAATCTAAACTCTTCTTTGTGCCAGTTGCTACATCAAAGGTTTTACTGCCATTTAATTCTCCAAGCAACCCTGATTGCTTGCCTTTTCTTATTTTTTCACCCAGTACTGCATTTTCAAAAAACTTCACATACTGCTAATTAGTGATTCCAGATAATTGTTTCTAACTACTGCATGGTAATCCATAAAGGGCAGCTCTTCAATTTACTTTCCCATTTCTGCAGCTAAGGACCCCCTGGTTGCCTCTCTGGCCCAGCAATCACAGGTCTTGGCTGCATGAAATCCTCTTAGATTCCCTCTTCTGGACCCAAGTGAGGATTCTTTGGGATATTCTGAAAGGGAACTACTGATTCTAATGTACATAGATGCTCTATTTTTGTGAGTTTATTCTTTAGATCGGTTTCACTTCTATAATCCTAAGAACTGGACATGAAGAGTCGTGTGTTCTCACATCTTAGACCTGGCATTATCCAGCTTTCCCATTTTTACCAATCTGATGAGTAGAAACTTATAACTCATTGAATTTGGTTTGCTTTTCCCTGATTTTGAGCTTTGTATTATTATGTGAACCATTTGGATTTTTACCTCTGTGATTTACCTGTCATATTCTTTGCCTCTGTTTATTTTTGCTTGTTTGTTTCTTTTTTTACTTTTATTTTTATTTTTGAGATGGATTCTCGCTCTGACGCCCAGGCTGGAGTGCAGTGGTGTGATCCTGGCTCACTGCAACCTCCGCCTCCCGGGTTCAGGCAGTTCTCCTGCCTCAGCCTCCTGAGTAGCTGGGACTACAGGCACCCAGCACCACACCCAGATAATTTTTGTATTTTTAGTAGAAATGGGATTTCACCATGTTGGCCAGGCTGATCTCAAACTCCTGACCTCAGGTGATCCACCCGCCTCGGCCTGGGAGTACAGGTGTGAGCCACCCAGCCCAGCCCTTTTTTTGTTTTGTTTTGTTTTGTTTTAAAGAGACAGGGTTTTACTCTGCTGCCCTGGCTGGAGTGTATGGTGTGATGCTAGTTCACTGTAGCCTTGAACTCCTGGGCTCAAGCGATCCTCCAACCTCAGCCTCCTCAAGTAGCTACGACTACAGGTGCACACCACTACATCTGGCTAATCTTTTTATTTTTATTTTTGTAGAGACTAGATCTCACTATGCAGCTCAGGCTGATTCTGACCTCCTGGTCTCAAGTAATCCTCCCACCTTGGCCTCCTGAAGTGCTAGGATTGCAGGTATGAACTGCCATACCCAGCCCTTTGCCCCGTTTCTGATGGATTTTATGATCCTTTTCTTGTTAACTTACAGGTTACTGTCATATATCCTATATTGGTTGTTAGTCAGTTGTAAATGTTGCACATACTGTGTTTCAATTTTTTAATTTTTAACTTCATCTTTACAATTTTTCATTAAAAAGAAATCCTCAACTTTGGTGTCATCAAACACTTCATTTTTTTTTTTTTTTTTGCTTTATATTTGGTAATTTTAGGTCATCTTTAGAAAGTTTCTCCCTACCTCTACATTGTAAAAACAC